TAATAAACAGCTTCTCTGGAACAAAGTCTGGAAGTAAAACAAAATTAAAAGAAAACAGCTGTGTAAAAGTTAACAGTTGAATTTTTGAAGGTTAAACTGAATATCTGGAAAGACACGATGCATTTAAAGAAGAAAAATAAGTATTAATTTTCTTTTTCATATTTTTTAACTTTTCATTGTACGTAGATGAATTTTTTAAATTTGGTGCTAGGGTAGAGAAAATAATAAGATTTAAAGTTTTACCAAGAAAAACTTTTGATATTCATTTAGGAGGTTGTAGAGGTTATGCAAATAAAATATGAAAACTAAGATAAAAATAATTATTTTTCTTACAAGTTGTAGCTTTTACAGTAAGGAAGATTATCTTTTAGAACAGATACATGTTTCAATCATTTTTAAGTACCTGTACTTGTAAAGAACAATCTTTACTGTAAAAGCTGTAACTTGTAATAAGATAATACTTAATCTGTAAGTAAACTCAAAATGAAATTATTTTTATTCTTAACATGAAAATCACCTTTCACTCTGCCTGACTCAGTAAAGGCTTTGGAAATTGATTTTTTTTTTGTACAACAGACTTGTGATGTTTATTAAAAGCTTGTCAAATTTCATGAAGATATGTATAGTTTAACACTTCCAAGGTGGGTCAAATTAATCCATTTTGAACAGGAAGTTAATGAAAGTAGCAATTGTGAAATAATAGTGTACAGAAACATTATTTGTTGGTTTTCAGTACTGTCACATATTTAATGTTTGTTGAAAAATGTAACATCAGTATAACTGAGTATAAGCTAAACTTTATACTGTTTTCCCCCCAAAAATCTTATGACCAATGAAAACCCATTAAACAGCTCCAACAGTGTAACTTTAGAGGTACGTGGCATCTAAGATAAATTACTACAGTACTATGGTGACCAGAAGTCTTGGTTTTGTTGGGACAGTTCCATTTTTTGGTAGTTGTTCCAGTGTCCTGAAAAAATTTTCAAGATGCATAAAATGTAACAATGTACATCAAAAGGTCAGTCACATGAAATCATGAATGTAACAGGCCTGCTTGACTTGCTCATTGTTGGAAACTTATTTTGCTGCTGCTAAACTCTCTCAAATGTTCTGTCTGTGAATGTTGGGGAACCCAGGTCTGCTCATCATCAAAATGCACCATAGACAGTCATATACTGAATTTTATGACTATTTTAATGAAGAAAATATAATTTCTACATTCCATTCATTCATCACAAAAATATGCCAAAAAAATTTGAAGGTAATGCTAAAACTTAATAGTAGTATGTTTGAAAATGTTATGGATTCTTAAATATACCTGGTTATGAAGTACCAATTTTTTGTGTGTTTATTCTAGAAACAATGCCAATGTTAATATATTTAGAAATATTATGGAACAATTTAATAAATTTAAAGTAAATTAAATAAAATTTGTAATAACCAATTTGAAATTAGGGGCAAGGATTGGTCTGTCCCAGTTTCTGGTTTGGAAATCTGGTCACCCTATAAAATATGTTACTGTTCTGTATAACAGTTTTAAATACAATACTAAGAAAATAATGTTAAACATACCATGAGGTGTGTCTAACACAACTATCCCCCACTTTAACTTCTGTCACTTAGCGAAACATATGAAGCAGATATTGGGAAGCAATAAATGAAGTTAAATATACTGTAAAAGCTGAAATGTGAACTTTATAAGCCGTGAAATAGTTCTATAATAATAAGACTTACAATGAGAATGTACGGTAATTGTAAATGTGGCAAAGAAAATAATTAGCAAAAACTGATCTAAGTCAACTAATAATGTAATGTCGTACTATATATATGAAACTTGTATGGATAGTATTAAGTATTAAGTGATGGAAGGTAAAGTAAAAGGTGGTCAGTACAATAAAGCAGCTTCTTACTGCTACAAACAATTTACAAAGGATTTAAAGTGTAGATGTGAAAGTTTTTAAAGGATCGTGATATTCTGTAGAACTTTTAAACCCTTAATCAGTAGAAAAAAAATATTGTTGAATTTGCCACAGAACGTAATGACATTTGTGTTTAAGTGCAATAGACTGTAGGAAAAATGCCTTATGAAAAGTGAGAGTGAACTTAGTTAAGTAAAGTAAAGGTCATTCAGCACATCTACTACAGTTTGTAGGTAACAATTTAAAAATTTTTTTAGCTAGGTATAGGGATAAGCAGAATTACATTTATCATGGATTTCATGTTTTAATTATTTTTTTTGGATGTTGTGATAGTCTTGTGGAGCTTAACAGCCTTTGCCACTTTACTTATCCTTGTGTGCCTTCTTTACTGTCCAAAAACTATGATCACCAATCCAAATTAAATGTAACTCTTCACTTCCTTAGACCTATCAAGTGTAATTTTGTTTTTGCTGTCATTTGTTGAATAAAAGTTAATGTGACAAAATTTGTATAGATGATTTATAGTCATAAATTTAGAACAAGAAGCATCAGAGTCTAAACTTGTGCATTTAAAATTAATCTCAGTTGAAACAAAATTACATGTAAAGTTCTTCAACTAAATTAACTTGTAACTTTTGACCTTTATCATACACAGATGATTCAGTGAGTGTTTAACTAGACCCTTAGCTCTGTAAATATGTAAATATAACTTTATTAAGAATGCAATAAAAAGACAAACTAACATATATTGTGTCATAAAATGAAAGGGAGTTATTAGAGCCTTGGTACATCAACTGACAAATTATTATATCTACTTTTGTCATAAATTAAATAGGGTTTATCATAGATGTTTGTGCTTTCAACAAGTAATCCCAAGGGTAGAATTAGGAGAAAACAGTTACACAGTTAGGTACGTAACTGGTTGTTATAATTATAAAAGTAAAACCATATCAACTTGTAGACTTCAACCCAGACAGAAAGGAAGTAAAAACTGTTTTCAAAACTAAGAAAACAATTTATTAAAAGTGATGTTCATAGTGTGTGTTTAGTTTTTGATTTAAACATAGTCTTTGAGAAATTGAAGATGCATTATTGTGTCTATAACACAATATCTATATGAAATGTTAAATAAAAATTAAGTAAAAGGGAGTTTAGGTGTATATGTCTACTCACAACAGTAAATATGATGATGCTTAAAACTTTTAAAGGTTCAGTTAAAAACAATGTTACTGAACAGATTAATTAATTTATTAGGAATCTAAAAGCAAATGTTCAAACAAAAAATTGAAGGTGATGGTGAAAGAATATTTCAAAGATTTAAAGCTGTTAAAGTAACCATCTTAATAGGATGCATGCACATTTAAGTAATTAATCAAAATGAAGATGACCAGGCTCTTTATTTTTGCTACTCTGTTATGTAACTACTGTGTACTTATTAAAACTTCTGTTTCAGTTTAAAATTTTTTATATTGTTTTTTTCTTTCTAAAAAACAACATAAAGCTTAAAATTAATTTTGCTTAGTCACTACCCTTTTTTGTTTTCATGGCTAGTCAGTTGAAATTAACTTAAACAACCTGTGTTTTTCTTTATAGAGGAGGAAGGAAGTGAACTACAAACTAATGAATATGGTAGATTGTTTGGCTTGTAAAACTAGTAGTAGTGTCTTGGTAATTTGAACCAGTAGGTTTTATTACATCTGCATTTTAAAAACATGGTATTATTATTTTTTGCATTTCATAAAAATTTCCTGCATATATATAACAGAATTTTACATAAATGCAACCTCTGATAAATACGAGAAACCTAAATGCAAGCATTTTCTCTTCATAGTGTAGGAGAGACTTCTTTCCATCCCCAATTTTTTTCTCTCCACATATGAGAGTTTTATTTCTAAATGGTAGCTTTTGGTGTAAAAATGCTAGGTACCCTTAAAACTGAGTCATTTTAGGCACAGTTATAATTATATCTTGGAGAATACAATCAGACCGTGTTTATACACATAGTGCATCTTCAGAACTCAAATGCCCTGCCCTATATCAGTCACAAAAAAAAACTACCCAACACCATAAAAAAATCTGAAATAATATCCATGTAAATGCATTCTTATTTTAGACTGAATTATTTCTCTCTTTTAGTTATTTTAAAAAAATTGCACAGTAAAATGGTAACTTAAACTATGAAACAGAACCCTAATTAACTTCACTCATATAATGTCACCTTCTTAAATTAACATGAATAACACTTCCAACAATTGAATGGCATTCCTAAGCAAGTGTCTTTTTCATGTTAGATATTTAAGGAGACAAAAAATTTTTAATTTTTGCATTTATTACTTTTTCTAATTTTGCAGTGCAATAAATAAAATACTTTTAAATTGTGTGAACTTGTATATTTGTTAAAGACTTTAGAAATACTATATCTTAAATACAGCATTAGCAATAAGGTAGCTGTGTAAAAAGCTAAAATGTTAAAATATTTGCTCAGAATGAGCTTGCTTTTAATTGACATACAATTGCATGTTTTATGGGTGCAAAATAATTGTATCTCACTACTGAAAATTAATGGAGGTGATTAAGTGAATATAGCTGTAAAAAACATCTGCAGTAAAAATATAGCTAAACAGAACTTGTTAAAAAACAGATCACTTGAAGTATGCCTGTTCTAAATTTGAAGGATAGTAATCTACATAGATTTTGACATTTATTATACTTCATTTTTTTGGCTTATGAAATGGGCTTGTGAAGTGAATGTTATGTGAACCAAATGCAGTTGATTGTATGGCCTAGTTTGGAGGTAAAGGTGTCTATAAATAGAGTGGCTTCTGTTTAGAACAGGAAATGAATGGTTTTCTACTTTCAGTTGTGTAGACTTAATTTTAGCTTTCTTGTTTAGGCTTCTAGTTGTTGATCAAGTTATTAGTGCTTTTAGATCAATTTTTTCCTACACATAATTTTTATTAAGTTGTGTTTTTATTTTTTTGAGGAACATTTCCTAGATAAATAAAGCAAAGTTTGAGGAAATGGATATAGTTTTAAATTGTACATTTTAGAAATATGTTAATACATATATTTTCTTAACAGGAAAGCTGTAGTTCTATATCTCAACTTTAATTCAAAACAGAAGTATAACAGTATAGCAGCTCTTAGAGTAAGTGTTTTACCAATAATTAGGAGGAAACATAATGTAGCTCAGTAATTAAATTTTTGTGCTTATGTCTCCTTACTCTTAAATTACCAACTTGGATTTTGTATATCTTAACTACAGATGGGATCAGCATATTACATAAGGTTGAAAAATTTTAAGTCTGCCTGCTACAATGCTCCATATAAAGTAATAAGAAAATAATAACTAACATGGTCATGGATTCACAAATAGTTTGGTACATATATAGTTTTGAAAAATATGTTTTAAAAAAGTAGATGTGTTACGGGCCCCATCAGTAATATTAAGACAACTGTTTTGACTGCATGTGTAAATTTTTACATAAAATAAAAGCTATTTGTTATAAATAAAGATGCTCAGGGATTGAAATATTACATTCCTGCATCCCAAAGGAATTTGACTTTGCTTAAGGAATTTCATGTTTTTAGTTGTCTTTCCCAATTTGGAATGCATGGTCCATCCATATTTCTTTAGCTATGGCCAATGAAAGTGAACATATTGCATGAATGAAGTAATAAAAACAATTCATATTGAAATGTAATCTTCCTGAGAGTTTTCCCCTTAAGTAAATGTGATTTTATTTCATTATTTCTATCCCTGATGCTGTTCAGATATTATTAAATAATATGCAATTATTTTTGATAGTTTACAATATCTTTTTTTAAAAAAATTTTTTTCTATGCATTTATCCACAGTCTACCAAGTTCAACAATGGCTGAAAGTGCTTTGAAGTTTGGACCTGAATGGTAGGTTGCTTCTGCTAATTTTGACAAGTACTTGTAAATATATAACAAATGGTTACTGTGCAGTGAGCAGAACTTGTTTTACATAATTGTAACATTCAGTACTGTTACAGTCTAAATTATATAAAGCCTCTGTTAACCTTGAATTGCTTTTTTTGTAACTTATAATATAGAATAATGTGTTATTAATACTTAACTAAAATCCAGTGTGTAAGTAGATAAAATTGAGAACAATTACAATTAACTTATTTCATTGAGTTCACACCATAAAAGTAATTTTTCATGAAAGTTGATAATATAAATAGTGCTTTGATCACTACCATGTCTGTTGAATCCCAGCTGGTCTGATGAGCCCTGGTATGGAACAAAAGGCCTCGTCAGCACAGAATGTGGCAAATGTTGTGTTGTTGGCATGTTATAACATATTCTTGTTTGTTTCCATACATAAGTTTTAGAATAATTTGAATTTTATTTATTACTTCCTAAAATATTTAGTGTTATATCTATTTTTTAACTCTACATAGTTATTTTCAATGTTGTGTTTATCATGCCTACTTATTACAGTATATTTTTCTTTGCTTTCACTCATAAGTTCTTAGAAGAAAATGATGAAATTTTACTGAATTTACGTGAATGATGATCAATAACTTTCGATCAAAGCAAATCTAAGTACATGGACAAGAAATAAAAATAACCTCAAAAATAATGTGGCTAATTTTAAACAATGCACTTACTATGTAATGTCATAAAAATAATTCATAAGAAAACAAAAACCGATAAGAATGCATTGATTCTCAGTTGCTGACACTCACTGTTACCAATATATAACTCCAATAATGTCACATGAAGTTTGACAAGCCTTTAGACATAAATCCATATACTAATCCCACAGTGCAAAATAATTTTTCTTTACTTCAATTTTAGCATTCATGTTAGACTTGTGTTTCATTAGTAAGTAGTCGGCAATAGTATCTGAATTTGTGTGTGATGTGTACAAAATTTAATCTTGAAAGAAATTCTTTTCAAGCCTGTATCTCTTAATTTTTATATTAAAATTACAACAAAACATGCAATAATTGTCCTTTGTGAAGCTTAAAAAGACTGATGTAAATCCCTAAACAAATTTTTAATTCTAAAAAAAGGGCACATCATTCTTAAAAATGTTATATTGAAATATGAGGACTTGTGTTATAGATGTTTAGCTGAGCATCAGAATTATAAAGCTAATGATATCAAATATTGGATTTTATTATTCTTAATATTATTGTATAAGTAGATAAAAAGATATTCAGTAGAGTTGTTCAAAAAGTACATAAATATGTATTGTAATTACTAATATGTATTTCCCATTCATTGAAATATCAGTAGTGATTAGTGGAATTTGCTACTTCATTAATTCACAGGATCATTAATCAGTTACATTTAACTAATCAGTTATCTTCATATCAGAGTGATATTCCCAGCTGGTTTACTCGTATATTTTGTGGTATTAATTAATATAAGTAATACACTTTTTAAACCACAATTATTTATTTTTGTAAAACATAATTTGCTACATGTTTTGACCACATTTGTTTAGGTCATAATCAGGCTGCCCAATTATTATTATTATTACAACAATTGTATGATTACATTTTTGCATTTAATAAGATACAAACAAACAAAGTTGACAATGTTACCAAATAATGTGAAACATTTCCCTCTACAAGTCACTGAACCTTTTTATTTATAATTAATGATGTCATGCAATATTTCTCGTAAATTGTCTGTTTCCCACCTTAATGTAGAGATTAGTGCCCATGATTGTGTTATTTTTCTAACTTGTAATTGCATAAGTGTATTATTGAATGTTGTATATGCAACTGCGGATCTAGAAGAGGAGTTCAGGGGGTCTGGACCTTGCATCAATTTTGTTTTTCAGAAATTAATTACTTTAATGTTGTACAAGTAGGTATAGATCTAGGGTGGACCCCCCCCCCCCCATGTACCCTTTCTGTTTTTCCAGAAATTAATAACTTTATTATATAATGTTGTATAAGTATAAGCCACCCTCCCTCCATGTTGCTTCAGAAATTGATACAAATCAGCCAGATTTCCTTACACTACCATATAGTATTAGAAATGTGTTAGTGTTTTTATTTGATTGGGCGATTAGTTACCATAAAAGATATTTGAGGCTGAAATTAACACAGATGGAGTTTCTAACAATATGATTAAGGCCTCAGTCAGTAACTGATTATTTCTAAGCTACTACAACAATATGACTGTCAATTAAGCATTGCTATGGTAACTTTTCATGCCTTAGCATTTTCCAGACACACTAACAATATGTTTAGACTTAAGAGATTTTTCATCAAAGTTAGTATTTGTTAAGACACCTGTAGCTTTTACAACATAGACCAATTACAGTGTTGGTTTTTCATTATTTAAAAATTAGAATACTCATGAAGAAGATGTTTTACATATTGTTGGTGGCTAAAACAAGTGAAATTATATGTGATATGACTGTTTAACTAATGACTTTAACATAAAACGATTTGAAAATAGGCATTGTATTTACCAATGCCATAATTTTTTTCCAAATATTATTTAAATAATTATAACTATTTAATTGTGATTAAAGAATTTGAAATGTTTGTTTTTAACTGTTTCTGTTTTCGTATGAATCGTGACTAGAAATAAAGATACAAGCTTTGAAATCATTGGATTATAACAAGACTGAGTTAATTACTTACAGAATATATTAACGTTACTTTTAGTTTAACTTTGACTTATTTAGATTACTTTAGGACTATATGGTAATTTGACTAATTCAAAATACTATATTATTATAGTGGCAGTCTCTTCTTTCATGTAAAATATTCTGAACATTTAGTTACAGTGTTACACAGTTAACTTTAAAAAGTTAACTGGTATCATATCATCATTATTAAAATGAAACATTACTCCAACTAGTGTGGAGAAGTTAAAATATTGTTACTTATTAACACAAGAATGCTATATTATCCAAATAGACTCTCTACTTTCATACTTATTCATTTCCTAGTAGTTTTCAAACTTTCCAAGATAGCTATAGCTATCAAAATATATTTTACTAAGTTGCTAAACAAACCACTTTCTAATGGGGATATGAACCTACGATATTCATATATAGAAATTATATATGTATATATGAAATTATAATTAGTAATAATAGTAGTAGTAATATTTATGTTATTATTATTACATTCTATATACTATGTCTAGGCCAACATCTAGACTAACATTTCAAACAATAGAGGTGTCCTAATGCCAGTTAGAAGTCCTAGATATGGGTTTTAGCAATATTGGTCAAGGCTTTAAAGTTGGACATCAAAAGTGCAGGTTCCAGTTAGCGTATAGTTTTATTGACTTACACAATCTAAGCACTAGGTTTAGATGTAGACATAGAATAAAGCATAACAACCATGTTATGACTGCTTACATCTATATCTATAGGATAGCCTTCTAAGCTCTAGGTTTCTGCCATGTGGTGTTATTTGCCTGATGTAGGAAAGTCCCAGACACAAAAAAAAAAAACTGAAACAAAAGATAATTTTGGATGTAATTGTAAATGCTCATGTATTCAAAGAAAAACAAACAAACTTAACAGTAAATGGGCACTTGCAGTTTTGGGGTTAATTGTTTTTTCAGCACCCAAAAATCTCTTTGGAACCTAAATTTTTTTATGACTGTCCCTTAATGGCACTTAAAAAAAGTTAACTTCATGGACTGGGCATGTTTTAAGCAATGGCTCTTTATTATTCTACAGCACCAACATAGCAGTCTTTTTTATGTCATTAATTATAAAATTCATTGTTAATAGCATGCTCAATCAAAAAAAGAAAGCAAAAGTTCATTCAAGTAAAAGAATAATAGTATTGATAAGTAATATTGTTTTATTAATCCTTACCCTAATTCTGATTTGTAGACTACTTAAATGTAATTGATAATAATTAGATTTCATTTACTTATTCTAGTTCATACCAAAGCAGTTGTTGTTCATGAAACTGATGATATAAATAGTGCTTAGACAGTAATATTTCTGTTGTATCTAAGCCCACCTGATGAACCCCAGTACTGGGTGAAAGCCATCATCAGCACTGGATATTTCAGATATAGTGTGGTTGACATATTGTTACATACTCTTCCCTGCTTTTACTTCTTAGTTGTTATAATTCATGAACACATCATAAAGATTAGCTCACATCTGATACATACATATAAGATAATATAAAAGCATTATCTAATTTATTTCAAGAGGGATCATTCCATCACAACATAGCTTGGGCCTGAGAAATGTTGGTAAATTAAATAAGGCACATCACATGTATGAAAGAAATTATACTCTGTGATTTTTTCCTTTAGGACCAAGGTTTAAACAGTGTTTGAAATAAGTGATTTCCAGTTGTCTGAGACAACCATAACTATTGCTGGATAACTCAAGTGAACTACTATGTTGTCCATAGGACAAATGCAACATGGCTCAATCAAATGATAGTTTAGACATGTAGCTCATATTGGCACTTTCAGAGTACCATATGAATTATGAGTAGTATGACTGTGTGCACCCCACTATGATTTCTGCAGTGATGTGATTATCAAGACTACACACACACACTGCTTACCAATAAGAGTGTTTGTTATAATGACTTACAAACCTGTTGCAGTTCACGACTAATAACAAGTTGCCACTCAAAAGGATTTTGATAACACCACATTCATTTCCGTCTTTTAAATTTTCTATGTTTTGATACATTAGACTTAGATACAGTTATCGATATAAATTGTGGATCTGGAATGGCTAAGCAAGCTTCGCTTTAACTTTGTGTCAAAGACGAGTGATTAAAGCAAAATGGGTATAAAGTATGAAAAAAGAGGCCAATTGCAAATATGATCAAAACAAACTCAAAAGAATGCTCCAAATTTCCTGGTAAGATGACCGTCTGTGGCTGAAGTATGACAAAGAGAAAGACGGTTATATTTTGCTCGTGAAGTTCCTAATTAAATTCATTATTTTCTATCAACTAATGAGCTTTCTAATATGATATTTGATTTAGGACAATGTAACACCAAAGTTTGTAATTTTTATTAGTCATCTAACTTGTTCATTCAAGTGTGAACAATTAATTTATTGCATATGACCATAATTGACCTGAAGGTTGTGTACTGACATCCCAATCTGCAAGTCTTATTTCAGACACTGAAAAGATAATGTGTTTCAGCCTTCTAGGCAGTTATTAATAGCAGAATGTTAAAGATAATATATGATTGTTTGATTATATAATGGACAACTAAGCTGTAATTTTTTTTGTCAGCAAATACTTAGGTGGTGCACTTTTCTCACTCTGAAGTTGTTTCTGTAATGAGTACTTGTACATATGTGTAAAACTGTTAAGTGATTTGTCAGCTAGAAACGTTTTTTTTTTTCAGGTTGAGAAACCTATCTCATGGAAATAGCCTAACTTCTCCACCTCCAATGCTTGGGGGACCTCCAAAATACAAACTTTCTGATTATCGGTATGGTAGAGAAGAGATGTTAGCGCTGTTTGAAAAAAATACCAAGCCACCAGAAGAGTTACAAGATTTTCCGTCTCTCTTAATTGAGAAATGTCAGATACCATTGGCACTTGTTCCTATGTTAGAAGATGAACAGGTAAATGAACTTTGTTTTACAATTTTTTGAAGCACAAATTTCTCTGAGAGTTGTATCTGAAATTTATGAAAAATGATAATGCTAGAACAGGTATTTATTAGTGAGTAGAAATGAAGTTGATTTTATAATTTTTAAATATTTGAGCCTATTTAAGTTGTCAAAAATACACTTGACTGGAAACTATCAGTTAATATGTTACATTTCCACAATTTGAACAGTATCATGGAGAACATTTATATTTTCTTATTTATGGTGTTTTGCATTTTTAATACAAAAATAGTCATCAAAGGGGATTAAAAATTAAGAGTGGAAACAGCACACCTTGAAGTTGTATATAATATTTGACAAACAAAAGTTGGCATTCTTGAAACATTCAACTCAGAATCTATAACTGAGCACCAAAAAACAAAATAAGTACATTCAAGTCTCTAATATACTCAATTATGCAAATATGATATTTAACTTAATGTTAAACATGTATATGCATCTTTTATCCAAACAAAAGGTTAAACTAAGGCTAAGATTTTTCATATTATATCTTCTATTATGTTTTGGGGCTGTTTGACCCAATCCAGGTTCTCATAATATTTTAATATATTTTTTTGAGTTTGTTATGATGAGAGTTGACATTATTTTCTAATATTTAACATAAAATAGTAAAAGCTACATAAAGATATCTGTGATCTTGCGGCTTTTTCTGTTTGTTTGAAATTGCATTAGGTCAATATTACCCTTAACATAATAGACGTACTTAAATTCTAAACACACTAGGAAATTTGATAAACATTGAATGTAAACATGCTTTAAGCCAGCATTTCCCAAACTTTTGTCATCCATGTCCCCCTTTAATAAATATAGTTTATTGCATGCCCTATCTTTTTTTTTCTAAATGAGTGAGTTAAGTGATGAGATATAGCACTCAGATATACATTAAAATACTTCATGTTTTGTATTAATTACTTATTATTTCCATTAATAAAAAAATACATTAAAATGCTTAATTTTGCCTTATTGCACAGTTATTGACTATATCTTAATAGCTCGTGCCCTCCCAAGAGATAATTTGCCCCCCCCCCCCAGACTTTGGGACCACTGTTTTAAAAGCTTTAATCTGAAGTAAATAACTTTCCTTATTCAGAGTTGGTTTTGGAATTAATGCAAAGTAATTATAGGCACCAGGTGACTGCATGATAAGTGTAAAATATGACATTTGCTGTTAACTTTTTAAAGTACCTTAGAATGAATTACAGAGTACACACATACATACAACTGTTATGTCATGAAAGCTATAACTCCAACTCTTCTTTCCCAAAATATAAACTTTACAAACTGCTAACAAATTAACTCACATTGCATCTGTTTAAAAATAGAATTGTGGTGTTGTGATACTTCTCTTTAAAAGCATTCTAAAATAAACAGATATGTATATTTCTTAGGTCAGGTAATTATTTTTTTTAGGTACAAGCAGTTGTATTATCACTATTCTCGTATAAGATCTTCAGGGATTGAAACTAATTAATCTGGCCGCTGACAAATGTTTTCCAATTACCTTAAAAATTACTTGCAAAAGTGTTAACCATGCTGGCAAAAAAAAAATTAAAAATTCACAAGTTGTGTGCCTTTCATCCCATCACCACTGGTATCCCATACTGCATATGACACTAAGTTCTAGTGTCTTACATTCAAAATTTTATTAAAGTATTTTTTGTTTATGTTATACCAATTAGTATATCATAAAATCTTAGCTAATGACCCATATTTTAGTAGTATTGCATTTAAAGTTCTTAATTCTACAAGGCAATATTTAAAAAAATCCTGAATTTCTCCTAGTGTGACACACATGACACGTTTTCTCTAGGTATATTATTTTCTCTATTTTATCCATCACCCCTTCAAAAAGTACAAAATTAAATGTAAATTACTCCCTATAAAATCATCATTGCTCAGACAAACCATAATTTTGTAGCCTTCAATTTTGTTTGTTACAGAGCTATCAAATAGAAAATCAGACCCCTTCTGCCACACCCACCTGTCACATCCTCTCTGTCAGGATTTGTTAATAGTTCTCTCTTACATTTAATTATATATTACCTATAACCAATAGAAAGTCAAGATCTTTATCTATCAAATGACGTATCTTATAATATGTTCTGAACAGAATATTGTTAATTTCACTCAAGAGTACAAGATTCGTTCCCATGGGAAAGTTAACGACTAGCTTGGATGAATTTGTAATGGCTCTTGTTGCATAGTTAGAAAGGCAGAAAAATTTTGAGAGTTAGGGGAAATTGTGTACATTTTGCATATTATTAGTCTATTACCATTGGTGCATTATTTAATTAAATAAAAATTATTTAGTGCATTTCTACCATTAGTATAAAAAAAAGTAGGGCTAACTGTCATCGACAATTGACTGCAAAAAAAAAAAAAATTGGGTAAGTACTTTATTTCTTGTTTTTATGTTCATTCTTTATTTATTATTATAACTGATCCTGTATAGAAAGAAAGTAGAGAGAATAACAAATAAAATATAAAGTTTTACTGAAAAAAACGTTGGAATGTATTTAGGAACTGCACAAAGGAAATTTGAGATTTTTGAGATGAAGAAAAGTATTTTTAATACTCAACACGAAAATTAAACTTTAGCTACACGGACTAATTCAAACAAAATACTCAATATATTCATGGACGAAATACTTTATTTTAGTTTATTAAAAATA